ATTCTGTTTTGGGGAGAGACGTTTTCACACCAGACACCTCGCAGAGATGGGGGAATCAAAAAGCGCCTTAGTCAGCTCAGTGCTCAGGGTAGAGGCTGATGGGAATGGGCTCTACAGCTTTTCTGGTTCCTGTTACAGTGGATCACTTTCTCTCCAAGTCTCATTTCAATAGCGTTAGTATGCTGCAGCCCAACTGAGCGCTCCGAGCAGAAAGCACACTGTCAGCACAATCATCAGCCCTGCTCCAACTCAAACCCACAAAGAGTGTCAAGATGTAGATGTGAAAATATAGCGAGAGAGGAGAAACAATGGAGATGGAAGTTCCAAAAAGTGAAAAGGTCAAATAAGAGAGAAGGAAATAATAGAAAGAACTGAAACATTGTGCAATATGCATAAAATGGCATAACAAGCCGTTGTATTCCTACTTGCATTTTTATTTTTTGCAAGAAGTCACTTATGTTACCAAGGCTGCATTTATTTGATCAAAAATGCAGTAATATTGTGAAATATTATTACAATTTAAAATATTGTTTTCTGTTTTCATACTGTACATCTGCTTCCTGCCATTCTTTTGATGACAAAGCCGAATGTTGTTTCATGATCCTTAAGAAATCATTCTAATATGCTTATCATTATTATTAATACTGAAAACAGGTGTGCTGCTTAAATCTAAATAAGTATAAAAGTGATAAAATAAGACGAATAGTGATGACTAGTTAAAAAAAAAAAATCTGTCATTATTAGTTATTTGTTGCAAACACTTTCTTTCACTTAGGATTCTTCTTATAAAGGTTAATTTTTGAAAATGTTTTCTGTATAGTCAAAGTGATTAAAGGCCGGGTGCAGTGAAGCTCCAAAATGACCAAAAAAGTCCAAATAAAAAATTGGTCCAAATGATTCATGCATTATATTCCAGGTTTTCTGAAGCAATGCGATAGCTTTTTGTTATATAAAAAAAAGTGAACAAATCATTCAGACGGTTCTGTGAACAATCAATTCATTGGAAATATTATACTCAGAATGATTAGTTGATGAATCAGATATCCTTACTTCTAATATGAAATCTCATGAACATGTCAACAAGAGCTATGTTGGATGTCAAGATTCTGACAACTTAAATTTCTGTCTGTTCATCACACAAAGCTATTGAATGGCTTCAGATGACTGATTTGAATGGACTTCTTTTATGATGCATTTTGGCAAATGAGTGGCCAGGATATTGTTTAAAAATTAAAATCATGGAAGAAAGTAAGTCATACAGAATGACATGAAGGTGAATAAATGATGACAGAATTTGCATTTTAGGTGAACTATTCTTGATAGAAGCAATGGTATATGGTCTGCAGGACAGAAAGCTGGAAGCCGTCATGAAGAACGGCGCTCATGTGACAGCATATTAGACCGGGAAGGTAAATTGATATGTAAATTGAGTGTGCGACTCAGAGAACGAGGAAATATGAACCTGAAATGTGCTAGACCTTCACATAGAGCGGGAACATCTTTTTTCTCCCGTCAGCAAAGTACAATAGCATACCCTGGTGTAGCGAACATCTCGTATCTGTCTCCTGTGTGGCAGAATGTTCCAGAGAAAGAGAGCAAGAGTGCATTAGGCAGCACAAAGTGATTTGTCCTCATGGTGTCCAGGCTGTACTGAAAGAGCAGAGGTCTTGCTGAACAAAAGCAAGCAGTGTTCACTCATTTATTGGAGGAACACTGGAAGATTGGAGTCGTTCATCAGGATGATGCTCACTGCTTTGTTCTTCAAGGAGAGACATTTTGTCAATATAAGATGCTCTTTTTCTCATTAGATTTCTGAGAGGCCTGTCAGCCATACAGACATACAGTGAGAACAGCTTCATAAGATTTGTGGTCCTCAATATCCGCATACACACTCTATGTAATGGAAATGTATGATAGCTATTGTCATATGCAGCATAGAATGCTCACGTTTTCATTTCAAAGCAGAAACTGATTGTAGAAACAGTTGGATTGTACAAACTATGGGAAACATCCTATTATTTGAACATGACTCTTACTTTATTGGCTTTCTATGACAAATACAGTTATATTGTGGGTTATACAATAGGATGCCTGTACAGCTAATAACTAACTAACTAATCTTTTTTTTAACTTAGAAAAGTAAAAAATTTGCAAGTTTTCTGTTTGATATAGTATTATTTTGATGCTCCAATAAACACATTATTTGATAATGAATAATAGCTTAATTGATCTTAATAGTTAGGATGGTTTTGGTTAGAGTTCAAAATTTAAACATGAAGATTTGACTCAGTTTCAATTCATGAAATTGTATTGAATTTGTAAATTGAACACAGGTCTGTCTATCTATCTATCTATCTATCTATCTATCTATCATACATTTGTTTGTTTGTTCACTCATTTGTTTGCTTGTTCATGCTGTCGTTTGTTCTATCTAACTTTGGTATGTTCTGTCTTTCTGTTGTTTGTTCTGTTGTTCATTCTGTCGTTCTTTCGTTCATTCTATTTATCGAGCCATCGTTCTATTGTTTGTTCTGTCTATTGAGCTGTTGTCCTATCATAATATAGTTATATCATTCTATTTATTGTTTTATCAGTTGGGTATATCTATCTATCGTTCTGTCTATGCATCTAATTGTAACGCTTGTAACCTTTTTTCCAAACACAAAACTCAAACATGACTAACAATGCCATCTGACACACTAACAGTGATGTTAGAGTGCTGCAAATGTAATTGTTGTGCTTTTAAGCATCTCTATAAATGGTGATGGTATTGGATTCAGCCCTAACAAAACATTAGAAAAACTAATGCAAAATCTTTGTCACAATACGCACACACACACACACTCAGTATTTTGGTGTGCTCTTGTGTCATTTTCCAGACAGCATAGCTGAGTGCTGTCATAATAAACAGCTGTTATATTTGCTGATATTTTCCCATTTGTCAGATTGCATTCAAGAAAGAACATAAAGTTAAGATTTTAACAAATGGCTTGTTTTCTAGTTTTGATGACCTTCAGCCATCAATCTTGTTATATGCCACATTTGTCTTCATTCTCCTTGACATCAATGACAAGACGAGTCGAGGTTTCCACAGTCACACACACACACACACACACACACAAAGGGGGATCCATCTATCCAGCCAATTAGTGGCGTTTACATGATGACAAGCTTGTGTTTGATTCAGCCAAATAAAATCAGCATCAAACTGAAGTGATTGAGCATGATGAACACTGGCAATCAGTTCCACTATGTGGTGGACACACACATGTGTGTGAGTGAGGTGCGCTTGCCAAATACAGAATCATTCTCACTCTTCTCTACCACGCAATCACTGCTCCAGCCTGCCAACTCGCCATGGCTGGGCTCCTGTGACCCTGGCATGGGCGGCCCCTCTCCTCATCATTACTGCCAAATTAAAAGCCAGAAGCCTCCAGCTCATCTGTCTCCCTGCTGCCGACTCTTATCACGAGCTCGGCCGCTCCCTCGCCGTGCCGAACGGAGAGCACGCTTATTACGGATGCCTTGGAACTCACCCCAAACCAATTATAATCAAAAGATGATTTTAAAATGTACTAGTCCTTGATTGTAATGAGAGAGTTCTACATTTTCTTCTCAGATTAGCTGTCATGAGTGATTCTTACTTTGAGACAAATTACCAAGGGGAGTTTAGGCACAGGAACAGGGGAGAGAAGAACCTGAAGAAGGGAAATGTAATTCTCTCATTAAAGCGTAATGCTGTTTGCAAGGGAGCATGAAAGATTATGCAGTTACATGTGGGAAGCTGCAGAGGCTGATTCGGTTCAAGAAGATCTTCAGTCAAGCATCCTAACGACCTGCTCTATGGTACGAAGGTAAAGAATTGGGTTTCTACGTAGGCACACTCAAAGGCAGGTCAGTTCATTTGGCATCCATCTCAAAATCATTTTTCCAGTCATGCTAGTATTGTTCCTATCTAATTTAATAGAGAAAGATTTTTATATTGTCTCTGACACATGGCACCAGGGCTAAACATTTACAAATAATGCTATGTTTAATGGTGTTTGTTTCTTTGTTTGTTTATTCAAGTAAATTTTTAATGTTTATTTTATGTTTGAATGTTTATTTTATGTTATTATTTTAATTACTGGCACTTTATTTATTTATTTGTTTGTATTTATTTATTTTGCTGGCACTATTTATTTATTAATTTGTTCCTTCAACTGTTTGATTTATTCAAATTTTCAACAGTTTATTTTATTATTTTCATTACCGGCACCTTGTTTTATTTATTTGTTTGTTTGTTCAACTTTATGTTGAATGTTATTCTATTATTTTGATTATTGGCACCTTTTATTTATTTATTGACTTACTACATCAGTCCTGTAACAACTCAAAGGTGAACTTGTTTAATTGAAATGTGAAACAGCTATTATTTAATTTCATTAAATGAAATGCATTTAGGAGATACACTTCAGGGGTATTTTATGCATAAACTGCTACTGCACTTAGTTGATAAATGACTGTGAGGGGGGCTGTTGTTTTGCAGTGATGTTTAAAATGTTGCTAAGCCTCTAGGAGCTTTTATACTGGGTGTGTTGCATTATATTGCTGCAGGCGAAGGCAGACGGTTTCAGAATCGTACCCACGGAGACCCAGAACACAATGGGTATTTTTAGACATTCCAATGTGCCCTCGGAGACTAACTCACACACATGCAAAGACAAACTTTTATCAGGGCATACACTTACTCAAACTCTCATTTGAAGACTTGTATTCATGTTTTAGGTGGCATACTCATTCAGACGTGTTCAGACTCAATTAAGGCTGTATATATGGACTGGAAAGCAGTGATTGATGTTAAAGCTGAGTCTAAAATATGAAGGAAACTTCATCTCTTCAGCAGCATGGAAATAATTTTTTCCTTACTCTCATACAGTACTGAATGGCAATTTTATGGCTGGTTTATAAAAATATAAATTTTATAGGTGATGTTTTTATCTTTTTTTTATGTGTTGCAGACATTGTGGCTACATTAAAGCGAAGCAAGATCCAGATGAAGAAAAAATGCAGTTTCAGAACGGGAGAGGTACAGTGGCCAAAATAGCACACACAAACACACACGAAACACTCATACATAATGGACTGTCAAAACAAACGGTTGTTTTTAGAGGTAACATAAATGTAAAAGGTCTCTCTTCCAGTCTCAGCTGTGAGAGTGCAATATAAATCAAAAACGCTCATACTCAACCTCACCATAGAGTTTATCTTTTCCAACTATTTTAGGAGGTTGTTTGGTTTTATGGTGCAGTCGTGTCTAGGCATTCATTTGGACTCAAAATCCCCATGTGAAAATCATATGTGGTCTTTTTTTTTTTTTTTACTGCAGTGAAATTGCCAGGAAGCAGAACATACATTCACCCCCACACTTACGAGGACCCAAATCAAGCCATCAGGGATTTTGCCAAGGAAATCGATGCCTCCACTATACATATAGAGAGAGTTATAGGTGCAGGTGAGAGTCTTATTCTTCTATAGATCAAATTGTGGAAAGAAAATGAAAATAAAACAGTACTGAATCACAAATATACATTATGCAAATTGTGTCAGTGTAGCTCCTTAAATATTGAGGATGGTTCACTTCATGAAACGTTTTTCAGTGTTTTCAGTGTGTAAGTGCAGTTGTGTGCTAATGTATGTTAAAAAAAAAACAGTGGTTTCTATTTGATTCCTAATCATAGAACGTCTGCCGACTGTAAGCCTCACACACAAAGCTGTTGTTTGAAATACTGAGCTGTTAATACCGCATATCTCTGCGTCTGAACTTGGCTTTGAAATCTCATTTTCCTCAATGTATGCTTTCTCTGTCCGTGAGTGTCTGTTTCTCCATTTTTCAGACTTTTTTTGTCTTTTATCCTGGTTCTTTATTTCTCTGTCTCATTTCCTATTTTTCTTCATCTAGTTGCAATAGTGTGCAATAGAGTTCTTTAGGGCTTTAGGAGCTCTGAATTAAACGATGACATGGAGAAATATTGTTAGATTCTTTGCGTGAGAATAGGACACACGTTTAACCCAAACATGTTTGGCTG